TAGGGGCGGCTGAGCTGCTAGGGTCCGAGGACGCCCACTGTAGGAGCACCCCCAACCCCAGCCGCCCTACAGTAAAACCTACAGTAAAAATGCCCCGGTTCCTGGTGTGAAAATCTGGCGCAGTGAAAAAAGAATCAGAAACACCAACTATTCCTATGCCACAACAAATGCAGCTAAAACGAACCGAAAAAAACCAAAGGTCGTCGCAATCGAGTTTAAATAACTCCACATCCGCCATGCCCTGCCCCGCTCGGCAGCACCGCACCCAGGGTTTACAATACCGGTAAGAAAAATTTTTCGGTCCCCAGCGATAAATACGAAATTTCGGAAATTTCGGAAATATCGGTTCAAATTTAAATAAATTTAAATTGAGTTTTAAACAAATTTGGCATCATTTCACTAGAAAAACTCTATAATCCATCATCCATCATAAATTTATATAACATCGACGAAATAACATAATATATCACAGAAGTAGAGCCGCGGTAATACAGTGTGCTGACGGTGGGCGAGCTGCATATACTAGTGCCGTCCAATGTGTGAGTGAGAAAATTAAATAAATTTGAAGAAATTTAGGGCTTTGATAAGACTAGATGATATAGAGGGTCATTTTAGTGTGGTTTGGTGTAATTTTAGAGTGAATGATGAATTTAACCGAAAAATTTTGACCGATACAAAAAAATTTCGGACCTCAGCGAAAAAGGCGATATTTTGGAAATTTCGACGATATTTCGCCGAAATTGTAAACCCTGACCGCACCGCGTCGCGCTGCCACCATCGGGCTTCAGACGGACATCCGGGGCTCAATATCACCTCCGCCCCGCTCGGCGGCGCTGCATCGCCCCGCCCGTGCGCCCGCGACGGCTCGCTCTCCGGCGTTAGGGCCCCCATCCCCAGCCCCGGCGGTCGTTAGCCTGAGGCCGGATCTCGACGTAGGAAGCTCGATTCGTGCCCGGCCCACGCGTAGGACGCCGAGACGTGCGGCGCGACGCCCACGCTGTCGGCAACCATAGCCACCGCCGCCACCGTTTCCCAGCTTCATGCCTGCAGCCAAGCATGCGACGAGGGTGGCAATCTGGAAGGGGAAGAAAAATAAAGGAAGCAGGATGGAGATCTGAGCGGAGCTCCGACGGAAGGCGAACGACCGGTGCGTGGTGTAGAAGATACGAGTGGGAAGACGAACGAGTGGGAAGACGAACGAGTGGATGAGAGCCTATCATCTAGTATCATCAATTCCTGTACCATTCTCCATTTTAGATAGTGAGTTACCACGTGATCAACTAATCCCTACAAATGTTCATGCACAAGAGTACTACATAAAAATGTTAGCAACTAATTGTGCTAGTCCCTTGAGATGTGTGCGACCTAGGGTTGCAGACTAGGCACACACTGGCATGGCGCCTTGGCTCGCCGTTGCAAGGAACATTGCTGAGCTCATGTGGTTGCCCGCGCCCCCACAGTTTTGCGTCGACCGAACGCCACGATCTCATGAGACTCCAAGCGCTGCCACGCCCTGCGACTCCCGCCCAATGCTATCTGCTCGCCGTCGCATATCTTACATTGGTTGCCGTTTGGGCATGGAGTACTACGCTCATCGGATCCGAGGGAGCCCCTGGCGGCGGTAACATGAGAGAGAGAAAGAGAGAGAAATGAGGGGAGGGGAGGCTAGGGCAGGGACGAGGTTCATTTGTAAAGACGAGGAATATATATCTCGATTTTTTTCTTCTTCACATGGAAATATACTTTAGGTGATGGGGCTATACATAAAATGTTTGAACACGTTCACTGTGAATTATTGCTAGATGGACTGCGGGTTGATGGTCTGAAATAAAAAAAAGGAGTTCTATGCAAAATAATCCACACAGGAAGGAGACACCGATGCTCCGAACTCTGGTGTCATAGGGAATAATAACATGATGGTCAATTGCTCATGCGCTAATGCGTTTAGTTTTTAGCTGATGAATGCCAAACCCATGATCTCCATTGACGTGAGGCCAGGTTCTTCTTAACCTTAAAGGTTGGCAACAAGCACGACATTGCACAAGATAAATAATCCGTCCCTCACACAGTGCTCATTAGCCAACGCTAGCTTGTTTCAGCTTATTTCAGCTTATTCTCTCTCACAGAACACTATTAAATTAACCGAAATAAGCCAAAAAATCCAAGAAGTGGATCAGCCGAACACTAGTTTTCAGCTAATGCTGAGACCATGCAAAACATGGTTTTCAGCATGATGTGCCGACTATGCAAAACATCACCATGCTAGACTTATGCTGGCACCATACAGTGACAGTTCCATGCAAATGCTTTTCAAAACCAAGCGATGTTTCAGGTAGTTCCATGCTACAGGAGTCTCGATATGTAAATCTCATACATGAACATTGCGCTAAAGGAATAGCCAAACAATTTCAATGTCTTGAATTCAAACTCTGACCCAGTGATATGTATACCATTATAATAAGACGGAGAATAAACGTAATTCCCAGTCAGACTCCTCCGCGCCACTCGACCTTGCCGCCGCCAGAGCCCTCTGGCGATGGTCGTGGCAGCGGGGTTCTCTGCCTCCGTCTCTTCCCCATCTGCTGGTGGGCGGCGTTGGCTATGGCAGCGGTAGCGCCACCCTGCACACCTGCGCTTGCCCGTGCGGCAGCGGCGGCGGTGCTGGCCCGCGTGCTCGCGTGGCCCATAGCCCAGCGGAAAGTGGCAGCAGCGGCTCGTGCTCCCCTGTGCTCGCGTGGCATGGCTGCGACGGTGGTGGCCCAGATCCACGCGTCCGTGGGCGGTGGCGCGCTTGGTGAGGCCCGCACGCCCGGCCCAGAGTGTGCTCACGCGCGTCCGTGGCCCCTACTGGGGGCTGAAAATCTGTGGCAGCCTAAATCTGGGCGGCCGGGGGTCGGGGGCCTATGCACTTTCGCGCTCCACGCGGATGGCAGATGCAGTGACGGGACCTAAGGCTCCCGCGCACACGGTTGCGGCCCCTGCTGGGGGTGGCGGTGGCCGCGGGTGCTCGCGCACCTACGTGATGGTGAGGCGCCTGCAGCTTATGGCCGTAGATGGCAATGAGGCGTCGACGACGTCGTCCCTTTGCGCGGCGGTGGGTGTGGTGGAGGACGGTGGCGGCCTAATAAGCGTCGACGGCCTCGGCAGGGAGAACGAAGATCCCGCGGAGGTGGTTCCATAGGCAGCTGTGTTGTAGGGGCGACGACGGCCTAGGAGTCCGAAGACTTTCTTGGCTGTGTATATACTTCGTAGATATAGAGGCTGGATTAATGAATCCATTATTAAAATACTGCTCATTTCTTTCAAGTCTTCTCTTTTATTTTTTCTGCTGTCTGAAAAATGACCAGACAGTGTGAGCGGACATGGGCCCTGGGCTGGGGGGCTGCAGCTCGAGTTGCGGCCCAAATTTTCTAAGTGTAGGTCCTTATCAGCAGCCCACGAAAGCTCCCCAATGCTAGGCCTAGGCAACCCCTACCCCACGGCCAGCCCAACACAGCGACAGCCCATGACCACCACCCGATTCCCTTCCCGTTCCCGGCGACGTCACGGCGAGGCTGCCCAGGCCCCCAAGATCCACAGCTCCGCGCCTCCGCCTCCAGACCTCCACGCTCCAACCGGCCGCGCTGCCGCTGGCAGCCCCTTCTGCAGACTGCACCCTACACCGCGGCGGTGCCCGACGGCAGGTGGCAGGTCGCCCCTTCAGCAGCAGCGCCCCCACCCACCCACACATACGCGCGCGCGCGGCACTAGTCCCCGAGGCGGCCAGGCAGAGTGACAGGCTCCTCGATCCAGATTTCAGAAGTCGAGAGGGAGGGCAGAGGCACCGCCCCTGCTCTGCTCTGCTACAGGCTGCTCACGGTTAGATCTGAGAATACACAACAGTATATGGTATTAGGGTCTAGTTGCTGAATTTCAATTTTCGAATGTCTAGTTGACTAGTTCCTAATACTCACATTCCAATTTGCAATATTTCATTCATATGTGGTAGGCATAGAAAGCTAGGAAGGATGGAAAGGTATTTTTGTAAGAATGACGCATCGAAGAGTAGTGCTGAAACTAAAGAGAGCCAAGTTGAGAAAAAAGACCATGGCTTGAGCTTAATATGTATCTGTTGAAGATGAAAAAAATTCTAAAGTGCTCTCAAGTCTTAAAAACTGTATGTTAAATTTGCCCCGCGATGGCCCAAGAAATGAATGACACGCATTATATTTGTTTATTTCAATTCATAATGTTATCTTGTTTTTTCATAGAATTAAAGACGACCATCAAGATGGTGTGAAATTTTTTACGTATTGCTTGAGCATTTTGAATTGATATTATCATTTCTATTCTTTGTTATATCTATTACTGCACCACTTGTATGAGTTCTAGCCCACTATTATTTAGCCCCCTCTTGCTTCATTTCTCGGTCCGCCGCTGCCACGCACCATCGATGCATGCCAGAGATGTATGAAACATCAGGCCCTGTCACTTGGGCCATTCGGTGAGATGATGATAAACATGCAGCGCACAAAAGGAATTCAATTAACAAGCCAAATATCACCCTTATTATATGGATGGAGCCAGCCACACCACATGGTCCTGAGGGAGGCCACACAGTACACACAACGAAATCCATGAGCATGCATGGGCAACAAAGGCCCGTATGCTCACACACACAGTACAGAGGCAACCACTCGAGGCAGGCAAGCATCAGCACGCGTGCCTCTGCCTCCGTAGAGGAAGGCCACACACAAGTACACAACAATCATGGGAATCCAAATCGATACACATGAGCACAGTCACAGCATAGAAGCTGCATCTTGCTCCACACCTCAATCACACATGCACACAGACGTGCACTCAGATGGCACGTGCAGCTGATGCACTGATGTGCATTTATTGGAGTCACACCACTGACATGAGAATAGCAAACAGAAACACTCACACATAACAGAGACAAGCACACACAAAGCCAACGATGATGGAAGCAGAATGGAAACCTTCGCATCCTCGATCAGCTAGTGCTGATTCTTCTTCTTGGAAAAATAGCTGGTGGTGAAATGTGGAAAGCATGGCGCATCACCCTGTTTATTTTCATGTGCTTTGTCCTCCTTCTGCTGTGGTTTATCATGTCTGAAAACAGGCTTGTTTTTGTGTGCTTTGATGTCATTTCTTAACTGTCGAGGGACAGAGTTACCATTAAGCTCAAGCTCCTTCAATTTCCCAATGTTGTCCACGCCAGAGATTTGGATTTCATTTTTAGGATCACACTCATTGTAGAACCAGATGACCTTCTCGAGGTTAGTACAAGATCCACTGTTGAAGTTGATGCTTCTTATCTTATAGCACTTGATAATAAGAAGGTTTAGGTTACAGAAGTCATCTTTGTCGAAGCTAAGCTGGCTTTCATCACAAGAATTGTCAAGGAGCACTAGGCAGGACATGCTTGGGTTCTTCGAAAGGAGTTTATATAGATCATCACCTTTTTTGAGTAAGGTATCAAAGAGAGTCACCTTGTTAATTTTATTGGCATTGTTGAATAGCGAAAGGAAGATTGACTTGTCACCTTTCACTTCGACCTCTCTCAGTTTTGGAAGGCTACCAGGCACAGTAAGTTTGGACTCTGTGCTGTCCATGTACAAGATGATCTTCTCAAGCTCAGGAGCAGCCCCATTTTCAAATATGATGTTGATCTTTCTGGTGTCCTCAAAATGGAAATATCTAAGATGCTGGAATTCTTCCTTCTTGAAGGTGATATTTCTCTCAGTAATTTTCTGTGGAGCTACTCCATCTTCAGCTTGTGAAACTTGTCCAGTGCTTTTCTGAGGAGCTGCTTCAACTTCAGAAGGCGAACCAAGTTCAGTGTTTATCTGAGGAGTTGCTCCATCTTCAGGAGGCTGAACAGATTCAGTAGTTTTCTGAGAAACTGCTCCATCATCAGGAGGTGAAACAAGTTGATTCTTTTTCTGAGGAACTGCTCCATCTTCTGGATGTGAAGCAAGTTGAGTGTTTTTCTGAGGAGCTGTTCTATCTTCAGTAGCCTTTACAGGTTCAGTGCTTTCCTGAGGTGGTGCTTCTCCGGAGAAGGAATCAAAAAATTCATTGCCCTTCAACTCGAGCTCCTTCAACATTGGAAGGTGACCGACACCACTAAGAGACTTTATGTTGGTAGAGGACAAGACGATCTTCTCGAGTGCAACAGCTGCTCCCATTGCAAAGTTGATGTCAGTCATATTGTCTCCATCGATAAGTAAATATTTCAGATGTTCAAATTCTTCCTTGTTGAAGATGAGCCAAGGATGAATGTATGCAGAATGTCGGAGCCTGATGCAGCGTAACTTGGGAAGAGAGTCAAGGACCTTAAGGTTTCTCTGCTCCAACTTGGTGCCACTGAGAGTTACCTTGGCAAGTTCACTGCTACCTTTACCCAATAATGATAGAATCTTCACCCTCTTTGTGTGTCCGTTGATGCTTACACTCCCTAGAACCTTGGGTGGTTGTATCAAGTGGGTGTAAATATTTCGTGGTAGTAAATTTTCATCAGTGGAGGGGTCCTTGCTCCTGGTTTCTGGTATTGTGATCGAAATGGACTGAAGGCACTCTTTTAAGTCACCAATAGTTTGAAGCAAATTCATGAGGTGTTTGTCATTATCATCGATAACTACACCGAGCTTCCTCAGCTGCCATAACTTTTTAATGTCCTTCAACTCATCTCCATGTGACGACAAAGCCTTGACATTAGACAACACCTCCAGGTTTTCCATTTTCTCAGTCTTGTATGGGATACTGACATAGGAGTAATCTGACTTATGTTTCCTATTGGTTATGCCAGTGCTGTTACCGCTTGCACTTGAATCAGTGTGACCAGCCAACAGGCGCCTTAGCTTCAGGAGCAGGACATGCCTTGTTTCCTTTACAGGCACACTGGTTTGCCGGATGTCCAAAATTTCAAGGTCATGGAGGTTGTTGATTTCTCTTGGTAGATGGGTGATATTTGTTTGTCTTAGGCTTAGATACTTGAGAAATGGAATGTTGTTGCAGATGGCCTTGAGGTTGTTGCTTTTTTTGTCAAAACATTTACAACCTTGCAGATCTAGCAACTTGAGTAGTGATAGCTGAGGTGAATAATTATGAAGCTCCCTGACAAACTTGTCTATGTTATCAGAGGCGCGGAGTCGGAGACCACTGGAGATGGAGAAGTGCCTAGCCAAGAGATGTGACAGGCGTGGATCCAAAACGTGTTGCTTTTTAGCCATTTTGGTGATAAATCCATGGACAAGATCACCAACCATGCAGCTCTTGAACTCTCCTTTAGCACTAATATCCCCAGGACAAACAAGACACCGGTCGATGAGAGCATCGAAACATTGCTCAGCATGGCGAACTGCAATGGACCAGTCTTCCTTTCTTATTAGCCGTTCTGTAAGCCATCGTCCTATTAAGGTTGACCGCCTGATGTTGTCACCTTGAGGGAAGATAGCTAGGTACAGCAAGCAGGTCCTGTGCTCTGTAGAGAGATCTCTGTAGGAGAACTTGAATATCTTCTTTGCATTAATGGCCAATGTGCTTCCTAGACCTGCAGGATCCTGCACCTGCAGGGCCTCAGATAGCCTCACTAGTTCTTTGTTGCTCCTATTGGGATTGGTGTACAAAGCACCAGCGAACATCTTCATGCAGAATTCATGTGGATGGCACTTGTCCAAGATGTCGCGCAAAATCTGGGTGCTGTTGTCACCTTCCTTGTTCACCCTATGCTGTGTGAGGTTGAGCACAATATCATGGTATAATCCAACAAGAGAATATGTAATTGGCTCTGTGGGCGGGTAGCAAAACTCTTTGGCCTTCTGGCTGTCCGTCGTAGTCACTATCACTGCACTGCCATTCCCATGGTTCAAGAGATTCAAAGCATTCATGATATCCTCCCACATGGGTCCACGTCTTCTATTTTCATCCTGCAGAATAATAAGCAGTTTGTGTTCATCTAAATGTTCGTTGATTTGACCCACTAACCCTTTGATCATCATCTGCTGCTCAATCTTCTGCTTCATTTCTGGAATCTTCTTCTTGGTATATTGGATGGCTCTGTCAATTTGACCATCACCTGGTTCTTGTTCTCCTGGGCCATGGGACTTGGTAGGTTGTGTGCCTGCTAGGATCTCTTGTTTAACCAGGTTGATGATTTCCTTGATCTGATCCCTGATTTCTTTTGTCTGATGGTCACACAATGTAGTAGGAGCAGGAGCAGGAGCACGATTACTAGCACTGGTCAGGAACACCTCCTGCAGAATGCGTTTGTATTGGGTGTTGTCCAGGTTCACGCCACCTTCAGTTTGCATATACTCTGCCAGCTTCATGGCTGTATTCTCGATCATCTGTTGCTCATCCCATTTTAGTACTTCCTCGATTTCCTGATCACTCCTTTCCTCGCGTAGCACTAGCAGTGTCAGATAAAGTACACCTAAGGGTTTGTCAGTTTTTCTTGGTGTGCCTTTTGGATTATCCATTGTGCCTTCGAGTGCTTTAATTTTTTTATCAACATTGGCTTTAAATTGCTGCCTGATCTCTCCTTTTTCCGCCCTTCCTGCTAGCCAAACCCTGAATTTATCAACACCAGCCTCCTTTTCCTTCCACTTATTGTGTTCCTTCTGGAGTCTGCACACACGCAGGATGAAGAAAAGAACCTTGTTGGGTCCTAGCTTATCTGATGCGTAGTGTACTGACGAGAGGTTGATCCAGACTGTGCAATCGAATTGTGAGCACGCTTTCTCCAAACCTTCACTTATAATGATGTTGTCTTTAGTATCTCCTGGTGCTACAATGGCGATGGATGGCATTGATTCCACCCAGTTGGTCTTGAGTGTCGCCACCCAGTTGCATATCTTCTCTATGAAGTAGTTATCCAGAGTGGGAGGTTCCAGAACTAGTCGACGGTAGTAAGAGTAATGCTCCGCCATCGCTCCTGCCTGATGCTGAATGCCTTCATCCTCATCATCGTCTTCTGCAGCCGCCGGAAGTGCGGCAATGGCTTGAGACGAGGACGAGGATGATGGCATCAGTGTCGATGACGATGTGGCACCACCTGGGGTAGCCGGCTTCCCTGGGATCTCCACGCCGTACCTCAACCGGCGCTTGCCGACATCGGCGGCCCGCTCCTTGAGCTCACGCAGCCGGGTGGCCGCTATGTTCTTGGCGATCAACTCCTGCACGAACCAGTAAGCCCACCAAAAGTGGCCTTTGAGACCACCCCTGGCGCGGTGGATCGCCGGGTCACCGCGTAGTAGGTAATGGTCGATGCAGTTGCTGCAGTCGTGGGCGAGTTCCCGGACCTGGTTCATCCACGTCTGCACCTGCTCGTCGTGCGAGCCGCTGGGTGGCGCCGTCCTGGCCAGGTGCTCCAGGAAGCTGTTCATGCTTTCCATCTCCTCCTTGATGAACTCCACGTCGTTGCCGACGCGTCTCAGCAGCTGGGCCTCTGCCCGGAGGACGCCCAGCAACGAGCCGACGGCTCCAGCCGCCAGCTCCGCCATGGCTACAGCACAGGGCGGCGGCTGCTGCCACCGCCGCCGTGGTCTCGCCGGACAGTAGAGACACCTAGCCCTCCTTAGCTTAGCTAGATGTACTTGGACCGACAAGAAACGACCTTGGACAGCCTCCCTGATGGTGCAATGGATTACTCGTCCATTGGATTATTTTTGGTGTGTGGTTGATTTGCTATAGGTGTCTGCTTCTCTTCAACACACCGTACCAGTGCTAGCTAGCATGGAACGCAGATCTATTTCTTGAAGGAATGCATGGCCAGAGGTAATGCCCTAGCTTGCTAGTTTCTAATCTGCTCTTTTCTTCTTGGCAAGGCAACCAGATGCCAGATGGACGTTCTATCCCATTGAGGATTCTTCAAGGTATGCCCAGTGACTTTATCCTTTGCTTGCTTTCCTTCCCTGTTCTTCGCATATTTTCATGCACTGGACAAACCACAAATGAAGCAAGGCATGGAATAAAGTAAGGGGAGTAAAACCTGCCATTTCTCTTTAGATAAAAGGTAACTATAGCTTGGATGAGCATTTTTTTCATCCTTATTATGTCCCTATAGGCAGTTAGGCGCTACTACCACCACTCCAAATAATATGTCCTCTTTGGATGGCTTTTGAGACAGCTAAAAACGTCTTATAGTTTGGAACGGAGGGAGTATTATCTAAGCCATCTATTGGTCTAGATGCAATGGTTGGAAACAAAATGGTGCCTACCACCATCGAAATTTTTTAAACATCTATAAGGTTTGAATAGCACATCTTGGTACCTCTCCAGGTCAAAGGGGGTATGAAATGCTGAACCTATGGAACAAACAGATCGTCAGGGAGGGTGCACACAATTGTCATCTTTATCAATCAAATTATCGCGGACGTGCAGACTCAGACTCCTATCTTTTCTTTTCTAATCTCGAATGTCGTGGTCATGCCTCTCCCCTATTTTTTTACCATCAAGAAAGCCAAGCAAGCTTTTGCCCCCCACTCCACGGACAAAATAGAGCTACGGTAATTTTGATGCATAACAAGGTACAGCGGAATGGGGCTTTGATTTATTCCCTCTCTTTAACTTTATCTTTTCCTTTATCCCTGCTAAAGGCTTGCATCAGACGGGCCCAAGATTTGAAGAATGTGTATTCAGAATTTCAAAGTAAAAAGACTTGATTGGTTCAACCCTATTTTTCAACATGAATAATAATTTATCAACCCTTGAATACAATTAATTAGCAAAAATAATTGGTATTCAATGAAAACGCTTGAATACCCCTTGGCCCGCCCTTGTAACAAAAAGGGCATGCATGAAAAATCAAAATTTTAATATTACTAATTAGTGTCTCCAATTCTCCCTATGTGTGACAAAAAAAAAATATAAATTCAATCTCACAATAATTAGAAACTTATGGTATTTAATTTGGATACCTGCTCTTCTAATTATCTGTGCACACTAGTGATCGGGATGGAATGGGCTATGGTGGTGGCACAATAGAGAGGACCAAAATTATAATTGACATCCTTAAGAATTCCGAAATTTAGAGGCTCCTCATACAGTACTTCTGGTGCATCTTTCCTAGAATTCAGATTTATAGCAAGGAAAACCTCATACCTCCATCCCTATAATAAGTGTCGTACCTTTCCCAAATTTACAGGGAGGAATCTATGCGAAACCACCTTTTCTCTGTTCTGAGAATTTCTAAACACTACTATAGAATTGGACATCACTGCCGGTCTCATCACTGCCGGATTTTAAAAAACCGACACTGATAGCCCATCACTGTCGGTTTTTGGCTAAAACCGGCAGCAATAGGACCAACCGACACTGATATTCGGGTATTGACTGTCGGTTCATATCACTGTCGGTTTTAGCCAAGAACCGGCAGTGATATTGGGTCATCACTGTCGGTCTTAGCCAATAACCGACACTGATACTATCACTGTCGGTTCGTGGCTTAAACCGACAGTGATGTGCTGCAAGAAAACTTCATAAGTTTCTCATATGATGTCCGATAAAGATGAACTTTATATTAAAATTATAGTACTCGACGAGATCTATGACTTTGTTGTTCAAACTTTTTTTAATTTGAGATTGTTTGGATATTCAAATATTTTCATTTGAAATAATCAATCTAACGGAAATTACGTTCGATTTCTAAAATTTAAAATTTGAATTTTTCAAACGGTCTCGGATGGAGAAACGCCCAAAATAAAAGTTGTAGATCTCGAAAAGTTATACAACTTTGTAGTTGAAAACCTTTTCATTTGATATCAGTTACTACTTGAAAATGCTATTTGAAATTAAATTTTGAAATTGTTGAAGAACTCTGATTTCTCTTTTTAATGTCTGACTAAAACTTGTAACTAGTCTTTCTTCCTCATACTAACTTCAAATTTGATGTTTTTCCTAAAAATTTCTAAAATCATGCCCTATCAATTTATTGTGTTCTTACCGGTATTATTTTATTCATCTTTTCACGTGACTGTGTTTTATCTATTTGAATTTTGAATTTTAAAAAATAGCAACTTCAAATGTCATTTTGGAAAACTAAATAATTTCAGCTGAAAAAGTCATGAACATAGAAGTTGTAGAACTTATCAAGATCTACAACTTTTATTTTGGTCATTTATTCATCTGATAAAATGGGAGTAACATTGTTCACAAAATTTACATCTCTCTTATAGTTTCATAAACAATAAAAGGGACGTGTAACATTTGTGAATAATGTTACTACCACTATGTCGGATGAATAAATGACCAAAATAAAATTTGTAGATCTCGAAAAGTTATGAAACTCTGTAGTTGACAACTTTTTGATTTGAAATCATCTTATCAAGGAAAATTACTTTTGAATTTCTAAAATTTGAAATTTAAATTTTATAAACGACTTCGGGTGGAGAAACTACCAAAATGAAAGTTGTAGATCCTAAAAAGTTATGAAACTTGTAGTTGATAATTTTTTGATTTGAAATCATCTTCTCAAGGAAAACTATGTTTGAATTTTAAAAAATTAAAATTTGAATTTTTTAAACGACCTTGGATGGACAAACAGCAAAAACGAAAGTTGTAGATCTCAAAAAGTTATGAAACTTTATAGTTGGTAACTTTTTGATTTGAAATCATATCATGGAAAACTACGTTGGAATTTCTCAACTTTGAAATTCAAATTTTGTAAATGACCTTGGACGGAGAAACTACCAAAATAGAAGTTGTACATCTCGAAAAGTTATAAAACTTTATAGTTGACAACTTTTTCATATGAATTTGTTTAGGGTCCCAAATACTCATTTCAAAATCAGATGAACATAAAATAGATAGGACGAAAACCTCATTTGGACACAAACAGCTTGCAGGTGGAGTGGTTAGGGGCCGAAGACGCGAAGGAGGAGATCAGGGGTTCGAGCCCCGGTGGCCGCGAAGTGCGTGAAAAATCGCATAACTTGTGACTTGCGACGCGCGACCGTGTGGTTGTCTGGGGCCTCTCCCGGTATTAAAAAAAATCTCTATTTTTTCAATGAATTTTTTGGCTTTCCTAGAAACCACATCACTATCGGTTCACATCAGTGTCGGTTTATAAGAACCGACAGTGATGTCAAACTCCCATCACTGCCGGTATGCCACTATCGGTTCAAAATCCGACAGTGAAGGGGGTTTTTGAACGGACAGTGATGTTAAGATCTGGGGTAGCGAAAGGAAAGGAGAATCAATTCGCTGAAAACCCGTTTGGCATCATTTCCAGCAATTCTAGTAAAATTGAAACTGATTCAGTCATCCAAACGCACCCTGAATTGACAGAGTTGACTAGTAGTCACTGTGAAATTGCTAATGATTAGACTATAAGAGTAGTGACTTCAAAAATATGTTTGTCATGCCTGCTTGTACTGTTCCTTCGGAGTTGGCTTTTAGCATGGGTGGGAGGATTATTGACCCACTTCGGTGCAACTTATCAACTAGCATGAAGCCTTAATTTGAACATAAAGCTGGCTACATACATCTCATATCAAAGTAAGTGCAAGAGAGGCCGCTAAAGACGTTCAAACATATGAGGATATTATTAGAGAAGAGTTTCTCTCTAAGGAGAACACTGATCGCGAAAATCACATTGGTATGTCGCTTTTCCTTCACATCTGATCTTGGTTTTATTCATTGCCAAACTTCTCATTAGTATTTAGGTGATCAAAACCATATAAAATTGGGGTGATCAAAACCATATAAAATTGGTGTGATCAAAACCATATAAAATTAGGTGATCTTGGATGATCCCGTTGTGGAACTTAGATTTTAATTTATATGTTTCGAGTAGTGGTGTAATAACTTCTGATTCTCTCATCTTGATCTTGATATTTTGCAATGACATCAGTTTTAGGCTGCTCCATGATAGACACACTCCTAATTGAATGTTTTATGTTTGTGTGAGAGCATGAATTTTTATGCCAGTGTAGTTGCACAACAAAAGTTTACTTCTTGAAATATTAAGTTTTAGCTATATCTGTGATAAAAGGAGACTTTGAACTCCAACATGCCTTCATGGTATTTACTATTTTATTAATTGGCACCATCTCCTCAATAGTAGTACACTCTGAATATGCATATTAGTCTGTGAACATCCCATAAACTTGTTTCGAAATTCTATTATGAACAAACTTATGTATTTTATCTTTTTTTTGGCAGATTTAGCTGAGTTGGAAGCCTAGCATTTTGATGGAAGTTCGGAAAAATCATTGTGCTGCTGGTCCAAAAGTTACTGATGTTTTTGGAGTTCCTTCATGTTTTGATTAGTTGATTTACTATTTAGGGAGAAATCATTTTTTTGATCTAGAGTATGAAAATATATTCTAGGCATAATATTAAAAAATGTTTTTCTAGCAGCACTACAGTAAGATGGCTGAACAATCTGAGATCTAGTAATCGGACACATTTGGTAGTCATGGCATGTCAATACTCAATACTCAATATTATGTTCTACGTCCGGTCAGTTTCAGTGAGTATGGTGTGAGCCGGCCATAACGAT